GTATACCCTGACCACACAGCCACCTTCTATTTTGGAGGGCGTGTAAGCCCGGTGCGTGACCACCCTCCGTTTTGGAGGTTGTATAAGCCCGGTGCGTAACCGCCCCCCGTGTTGGAGGGTGTATAAGTCCGGTGCGTAACCACCCTACGTTTTGAAGGGTGTATACGCACAGCGTTCATAGAAAACCGCATGCCCAACCACCTACCGCAGATGGCCGCCTACCCACGCGCCACCAGTGTGTCATGGCGATGCAAATAATAGAACCACTCGCAATTCTGCGTTGGAAACCTCTCAGCTATTCAGTGGCTTGCGCCCGCCTCCCAGCTCAGGTTGGGGGTTGAACATAGCAAAACTCTCCAATTGGTTTTAATGATTCGCCTCCTCGTGACTGATTCGTCAAGAGCATAAATATTCTGCTCGCGCTCATGCCTTGAACAGATTTGTAAACATTTGGAGGAAGCTGTATGGAAATGAATATCATGGTTATGAAGGACTGGATTGTAGTCATCCAGAATCGCCATGTAGTTGGATTTTTGGCCGATTCCTGGTATACGGAGTAAAAAATGTTCCGGCAGCTTTGGATTTACACCAAGTTAAATTTGTCACTTAAGGGTGTGAAACTAAAGATGGCAATTCAAGCTTTACATAAATACGCTGTTAAGTCGAAAAACGTTGCTATAAATAGCCAAAAACTGTTCGGGGAGAGCCATCTTACTCCGGCAAAAACACCAGAACGCAAGATCAACATGAGCCCATAACTTTGACGCGGCAAAATAAGGAAAGGGGTTTATTAGGACGAAAGCATTAATTAATTGCAACGTAAACTATCATATTTTGCAATGATATGGGTTAAAGCGCATCAAAATCCATGAATGCCTTGCATTATCCGTCGAAGTCAGCGGAGTGACTGACACAGATCCCTTTTGGCCGGCCCACACGGGTCTGCCAGACATCGTATTTGCGCTGGCTGCCTAAATCGGTTAGGAATGCTCCTGTCTATTGTTCGGGTGGGACGTGCAGGGCCTCGTGTGTTGACCGGGAGTGGGAAGGTGTAGGACATGAACGTTTAGCTGTTTTTAAAACAAATCGGGTGGCGGAGCGTGAGTAGCGTGATGGTGGTGGAGCATAGTAGGCAGCCGTCTGTGGCATGTTCATTTGCATTTTTTGCGTACCGTTTTTGTCTGGCTGTGCGCATCGCACCCACCCTCTGTTTTGGAGGGTACGTAAGCCTGAGGTGTAGCCACCTTCCAGCTTGGAGAGTGTATAAGCCCAATGTGTAATTACACTCCATTTTGGAGTGTATAAACACAGAGCCTTTCATGAATTGCAAGCCAATATATATATGCACATGTGCTTCATAGTACAGAGTATGTGACTGTGTTGTTTCTGTTTGCCATGTTTAATACTGATGTTTTCTTTCATTTAAAGTGGTTTTACATGAATTCCTGTACATGAAGAGTAGTGCTATTGGTGACTGCCACCCAGTATACTATTATCCCTCAAAGATAAGTTAAATAAAGCTGTAATGACCTGCAGCACTTGGATAATTTTGTACTCCACTTTATAGAATTTGTACTCCATTACCAGGAAAATCTTTCACATTTCCAATGCTGCACCAGAGCATGGTTACTGCCATGTGCTGCAAAAGAATATCCTGCAGTGCCAGCTGCAAATACAGTGCTAACTCAGCCAGGTAATTTTGTTTTCACTAAAGCAGTGACTTAATAGTTGTTCTCTCTCAAGAGCCAAAACCAAATTTCAGGTACTGCTGGGCATGGTCCAACATGATACACATGCTGCCCAGAACAAGCAACATCAAGCACATCACAACCATTTGATCACAAAATATTATGCAATACCAAACCATAGCATAACAACCTTCTCCTTTTTGCTTTTCTCAGAGCAATGGATGCAAAACTAGAATCCAGTGCCAGCACTGAACCTTTCACTACAGAAGCTTCACTGCCAACTACTCAACAAGCAGATGCAAACTCAGCTGCTAGTACTGAGTCAGAACCAGATTTCAGCAAAAAGCCAACATGTCTGATATTTTTGGGCATGGCCGGTTCAGGAAAAACTACTCTGGTGCAGAAAATAACAGCTTATTTGTATGAGAAAAAGCCTCCCCCATATGTCATCAACATGGATCCGGCTTGTGGAGAAGTTCCATACCCAGCCAATGTGGGTAAGTCTGGCTAGTGGGCTCAAATTGTGCAACAGTACTGTATTGCAGGTATTTGTATCAGGTACTGTTCTTCCTGCCCCAAAGATGCAATTTTAACTTCATCATCCTACTATGTTGCTGGCCCTGTTACTGTCAAGAGGCCAGGGCTCTGCTCTTGTGTGCAATATTGTATGTGAGTGCACACCATTTTACGTGGTAGTGTGAAGCAGTGTTTAGCCAAAGTAGGGGTAATGTCATGATGCTGTAAGGTTGAGACAATTCATTTGAAACATTATCTGTGCCCCTGTTCTCAGATATCCGTGACACGGTCAAGTACAAGGATGTGATGAAGCAGTATGGTCTGGGTCCGAACGGTGGCATTGTGACGTCACTGAATCTGTTCGCCACACAGTTCGACCAGCTGCTGGGCCTGCTAGAGAAGCGACAAGAGCAGCATGAGTACGTCATCATTGACACACCTGGCCAGATCGAGGTACCAGCAGTTTCGCACATCGCCGACGTGATTGGTTGGAGCTATTCACGCAAGATTTCGTTAGATTGCGGAAGCGTTGTATGAAACTCGCGGAAATGTCATCTGCAAGTAGTTGTAAGGAACATGGGAAGGGATACCTATTTTGGTGACAGGTTCCAGTTAATGCTCAGAATTGCAGTTTGGAGTGTGCTGGCCTCTGGTGGACTACTCGTGTTGCTCAGCGTGCTGAACCGTTCCGTGGTCTCCAACCAGCGGTGCGTCTTAGCGATCTTTCTAGTAATTTTTGGCACGTGCAGTCCTGCCGGAATTGGTGCCCTTTCGTTCTTAGCTCTCGGAGCTCATTTCTTTAATGTTCAGAGCTTTTTTAATCATTGGACCATGTACTTTTGTTAGTACGTGAAGGCAATTGTTGGCTTCACTTCCGTTCTGTGCACGGTTCAACCAGTGAACATACACCAGCCAGCGCCCACAGCCCGGACAGTCGGTGGTACTGCCGCCGCTCACAGCGGCCGTGCCAACCTCGCGTGTTTCTCGCCCAGGTGTTCACCTGGTCGGCTTCGGGCTCCATCATCACGGAGGCGCTCGCTGCCGGTTTCCCCACCGTCGTCGTGTACGTCATGGACTCGGTGCGCAGCGTCAGTCCCGTCACCTTCATGTCCAACATGCTGTACGCCTGCTCGATTCTCTACAAGACACGCCTGCCCTTCATCGTTGCCATAAACAAGGTCAGCTGGTCAACCTTCAACGGGGACAGGATGCCACGCGCGGGACCAGACTGGCACAGCACTGCGTTCTAACAGCACGAGCGTCGGTCGTAGCCATGCTATCACTGCCAGTATGATCGGCGATTTTGTCGTCCACCCGGTCATCCTCGTTCGCCGCCTGGCCCCAAACGCTTCCGATGTCCCGTCTCACCGGAACTTGCTACGCCCTTTAGCCATGAGACAGCCTCACTGCTGCCGGGACGTCCGCAAAAAAAGCCTAAACAGAGTAAGACTCCTTAGCGGAGGACCCGTGCGATGAATACAGCCTTGCCCCACTAGTCACCTCTTCTGTACTACGCCATTACTTACCCATCTCTCCCTTAGCCCAGAGACGTTTGCACTGGTCAGAAGGGCTTTCTCCCAGACCAAACCTAAACCAGTGATCCTGCCATTCATTGACGTGCATGGGCCGTCTCGGCGCCTGTTAACCCGGGCCGCGTAAGGCTCCGGATTCGATGCTCCGAGATGGCTCGGGCAGACGAACAGCAGCGCAGTTCTATGAAGCCCTGCGTCCGGCCTGTTTCAGACGGACGTGGTGGACAGCGGCTACGCCGAGCAGTGGATGCGCGACTTCGAGACGTTCGACGAGGCGCTGCGCGCCGAGAGCTCGTATGCCACCAACCTGACGTACTCCCTGTCACTGGTGCTAGATGAGTTCTACGGCTCGCTCAGGTGAGGCGAGAGGCTGGGCCGTGAGCTGTCGCCGACCCGCGGGCCGGCCCAGTGAGTGCCGCGCGAGCAGTCCCGGCACGACCGTCCGCTCAGTCCCCGACACGCTGCAGGGCGATGCTGTGGCCGCCGCTGACTGGCGCCACCGTTCCACCAGGTGCACAGGCGTGTCGGCGGCGACGGGCGCCAACGTGGACCGGCTGTTCGAGCTGGTGAGCGAGGCGCGCACCGAGTACCTGACGGACTACCGGGCCGAGTACCGGCGGCTGCGGCGCGCGCGCGACCAGGCCGAGTGCGACCGCCAGCGTGGCCAGCTGTCGCGGCTTGACGGCGACTTGGAGCCAGCCGACCGCGAGCGGCTCGTCGAGAGCGACGTCTCGCTGCGAACGGCCGCGCAGGCAGACGATGACGACGGCCAGCAGACAGGTGGGCCTGGGATGCGCGGCCGGCGGCTATCCCAGCGCCGGCTCAGCCCCGCTGCTCCCCACATCTGCCAGGTAGTCAGTTGTGCGAACAGGTCGACCTTGCTACCACGCCGCGTGATAACCTGGGGTTTCGGGCGCACTCACTGTGTATGGTTATGCAACGTTCATGTGGCCAGACCGCCAACCCGCTTCTCCCTGCCTTCTTGGTCAAATTTGGTTACCGGTGTATGCCATCACGAGCGCGCCACATGGTCAAGTTCCGTATTAACGTAAAGTAAGAAGGGGTTGCCGATGAATTCAGACCTGTATGAATGGACAAACAGATGCTTGAGTTGCTCATCTGAGCGTCTGGGGTGGCATGGCCGCATGGTACTGTACCGTTACAGCGGTACAAAGTCATAACAATATTTGTTCCAGTTTCAGACGACGAAGACGTCAAAGAGCAAGAATCGTTCGAGAACTTCCTTCAGCGTCAGAAGGAACGGCAAACGGCTAAGGAAGTCAAGCAGACAGTGAACCTGTCCAAGTCTTGAAACACGCCACGCTTTTGAATCATGTATCTTTCAGCGCACACTACATCAATACACAACACAACAGTGGTCTGCGCCGTTGTTTTCATACGTACCACCAGTGGGGAGAATGGCACCCACTTCACCAACGCAGTCGCTCAGTGACGCTGAGGTGTGGCCAGCCGCCCAAGGACCATGGGGACACGGGTGGCCGGGCTCCGCTGGCACCACAGCAGCTTCGTTGGGAGTCGCGGCATCGTAATGACCGCTGTCCGTCAGCCACCGTCCCGTGAGATCGCCCTGGCGCCGCGACGGGCCTCTCGCACGTCTGACCTGGTCACGGTTCATGCTCCGTCAGAATGCCACCGGCCGTTCTATCACAGACTGAAGCCGTCCGTCGGAAGTCTCGACTGTTCCGCCAGAGGTTCTCCACCGTCCCGTTAAAGGTCTTCCCCCTTCCGTCAGAGGTCCTCCGCCGTTCAGCCAGAGGTTCTCTGCCGTTCCGTCAGAGGTCCTCCGCCGTTCCGTCAGAGGTTCTCTACCGTTCCGCCAGAGGTCCTCTGCCATTCCGTCAGACGTTCTCTGTCGTTCCGTCAGAGGTCCTCCGTCGTTCCGTCAGAGCTCCTGCAGGTAGCGACTAAGCTGCTCGTCCGCCGCCTCCTCGCCGTCCTGGTCGGGCATCTCGAACTCGTTCGTACGCACATCCTCGTCCTCGCCGTACTGTATGCTGTTGTCGATGATCGCGGCCAGCTGCGTCACGCTCAGCTCGTCGTGCAGGTCGAGCGTGTGATATTGCACCAGGCCGTACTCGTCGACGACGCGCGCCAGCGCCGCCGTCAGCCGGCGGTACCGCTCGCCAAAACGGGAGCCGTCCGCGTCCAGCAGACGGCGCGTGTCCGGGTCCACGAACCTGCCGGCCAGCGGCGGCATGGTCAGCAGCGGCCCGGGTCAGCGGCGGCAAGTCAACAGCGGCTCGGGCCAGCGGCGACACGGTCAGCAGCGGCTCTGGTCAGCAGCGGCACAGTCAACAGCAGCTTGGGTCAGCAGCGGCTCAGGTCAGCGGCGGCTCGGGTCAGCGGCGGCTCGCGTCAGCGGCGGCAGTCAGCAGCGGCTATGTCAGCGGGACCCATGAACCACCGACGTGGTGGATAGACAGGCGGGTAGAAAATATTGTCCATTCTGTGGCATCGAGGCTTTACAACGCATTCAGCTGCTGAGGTTACTTGACGTCGCCTGCCTCTGCCCCTGACAGTACGGGCGGCCACGGCGGAGAACAGAACCCTGCGCCTCTAGTTTCCCAGACGCGCAGTTTCTCAGCACTATTGCCGGCACCCCAGGAGAATGACTCCACCATGAAGTAATATGGCAACCTAAGCGGTCAGCAACAGCATAAACTAGCGTCCAGTGCGCAGCATGCACCCCCTCCCCGCACTGCCGACTCCGCCTCCGTTACCGCTCCAGCTGGTTGCGAGACTCCGCGCTGAGCAGGTCCATCTTGGTGAGCACGTTAACGTGGGGGATGCTGATGTTGACCATCACGCTGAGGGCAGCCATGGTGCCAGAGATAAACTTGCTGCCCTCCACCATGAAGGATGAGTCGATCAGGAAGGTACCGCACAGTCTGAAGTTTAGAGCCTGTGGAAACGCGAGCGTTCGTATTCCTGTCATTAGCTTTCACAACGTGTATCATTTGTGTTCCCTTGTAAGTCATTTGCTAGCACTTGTCATGATTTTAGTTCTCTTTTAGGCTAGCGTTAAGTTCAAAAATCCCTTTAAAAAATGTGCTATATTTTAAATATCTAAATGACTGATGCCCATCAGTCTATTTCGGTACGAACACAACCGTAACGACATCAAGACGGCAACGCCACAGTCACAAGCAACCAAGCCAAAACTGAACGAAAACAGGCCGATTAATGACGAAGCAGACGCGTTCCCGATCGTTCTAAGGATCGATCAGTTCATCCGAAAGGCAGAGTTCGCTCAGCCCGCGGCATCTGGACGAGCAAGGCGCACAGTGTTACAAGGAAGCCGTCAATTCAATTGCCAGGGGCAATATATTGCGAAGAACGGAAGATATATGCACGCCATCATTGAAATGCACCCGACATCACAGGTAACATTTCCAGCCCCGCCACAATCCGCATACTCACAATCCTGTCATATTGCCAAAAATTTCAATCCTGCTACAATACTTCCAACCCTGCCACTATACTGCATGTTGCCAATGTCGCTACCATACCACATGCAGCCATACCGCATCTTCTACCGTACCGCATCTTCTACTACCATACCGCATCTCCCCAATCCCGCTACAGTGCCGCATACTTCCAATCTTGCCACAATACCGTCAAAGGACGGACGAATACGAACTCGTCGCGCTTGAAATTTTTGTGTGCCGTAATTTACGTTTCAGCAATCCGGAAACCCATGACACACCCAACTCTAGCCGCCAACTAACCTGTAGAGCTTCTACGATGTTCTTCATGACGTCCATGTGGGTGAAAAGTTCAATCTGTCCAGGGCAGTCGAACAGGAAGTAGTCATCCTCCCCTTCGCCAAGCTGTTCCTCTAGCCAGCTCATGTTCTTCATCAGATACCTACAGGTGAGGAAAGAATCAATGCGGAACACTTAAGCTAGGTCAAGAGCTAATCAGAGGGCCACCCTGGGAAGGGCGTCACTAGCCCTAAAGTGTGTGCGTGGGAGGGGATCCAAAAAGGTGTGCTGATTCTCCAAAACTCATTGCAGACAGCTGTCTTTTTTGCCTCGAGAAGCGTTCTAAAACAAATTTCTTTTTAATGATGTCGTTTGAACGTTCTCCAAAGTCAGATATCAAGTGCATTAATTCGGCACGTGATACCTGCAAGGAGCTTGGAAAGCAAACAAGATACCTTCTTAAATGCTTATCAAAATGTGACCATTCCTGTTGACGATCGAACATTAATGTTCTTCAGTTGCTGGCTGGACCCGATGCTTTCGGAGGAGGCGCTAACCGGAGTGGTTATTTAAAAGTCGGGTTTGGTGAGCACCACGTGCAGCGTAGCGTAACATCAGTTTGGTTTCACACATTCCAGTGGCACTCTCAATTTAAACACCTCGGCACGATGCGGTCCTACGGACAAACCTTTTGCAGTCCGTGGGATTGATCTATGAGGGGCGTACCACGTGTTGTTTAGGGCTCGAAATATAACAAGCAACATGGCTATGTATTTTTGTGCTATTTCATTGCATGATTCCATAAAAATGGAATTGTGAACAGGGGTGTCAATTATGTAAATTATTGGGGGGGGGGGGGGGGAGGCCGAACCGAAGGCCCGACAACCTACCAACCCTTCTTTCTCACTGGATTTAGTCCGCTTCATTTTTATTAAACACAATTTATGTTTTCAATCCTCGAATAACTTATACAAGTCCTTAGCTTAAGCAGTTTAGCAGTCATGCAGGGTTGGATGCGGGGAGCACTGGACCCACGCGTCTCTTCTGATCGACACGTGAAGGCGCCCCTTTAGAGGCTATTTTAGGGCGCCGATGGTGCTATTCTGTGGCGGTCATGGGAGGCCGCACGCATTTTGGTCGTGAGGGACGGGGAAGGGGTTAGCCATGAAAGACTTAGGTTATCTCCACATTCCAGAGTTTTTCACTTTAACCTCACAAACCGTTGCGTGTCTTATGACGCTAGGTGTGTGAAGTTTATTGCACCGTTTATCCGTTCAGCTGTCACGATTTTTATATTCTGGTGAGAGCAACATGACTTTTTGTTATGAGGGTGGTACGAGACGCCATTACGCAGAGTGGCGTCTCTCTATGAAAAAGGATATAGTATTTGTGTTATGTCCATCTTTTACCCACGTTTTTTGGACTATTCCGTCCAAAAACATTGGGGGGCCAAGCCAACCTTGGGGGGCCCAACTCAACATTGGGGAGGGGGGCAGGGCCCTCACAAAAGGACACAAATCGACGCGCGTGCTTGTGAAGCAAAAATAGTATTCCTGAGAACTGACCTTCTCCAATGGGGTCAACCACTGGCCTACCTACAACAGGTTGCAACTAATCATGACATATTGCTGAGGCAAACTACTGGTTTCCTATGCCAGGCTCTAATGTTTTTAACTTGGAAATGCCAGTGCCCCTCTGCAAATACCTGCAGTAAAAATGTCACTCCTGGGTGAAGTCTGTTATCAACAGTGTTACACTGCACTACCCTTTTTTGCTTCGTCGCATTCGTCGCATCACGCACTGATTCGTCGACACCCACTAGTGGCTATGAGTTTTCCGGCAGCTTTTCCAATCCGTGCTCTGCATCGTCGCAGCACATTTATGCCTTGAATTAACAGGGGTGCGGGGTCTTCAATGCGCCAAATTGACCCCCCCCCCCTCCCCTCCCAGTCGACGTTCTTTGACCTGTCAAGTCAAATTCACTATTGCCTGGGCACTCCTGTCTGACGCAGCCTGAAGAAAGCTTTTCGGTTCTTGAGATCTTGAAGGAGATCATGGCCTCTGTGCGTCCTCTCATCCTTCCTCCCCCATAGCGCTAACGTAAAAAAAAACTCCGTAGGCGAGGGCTAACAACCTGAAAATGTCACTTGCGTACCAAGGAATCGTACCATTGATGGGGAGAGGCAACTCAGCAACTGCGCTGGAACAAGTTCGTCACAGCCATTTAATTCAGCCGCATGGTCCAACGTGTTGTAGCCGACAACCGTTGATGTCACGGACCTAAAAATAACTCAGCCATAGTGTATGGTGTGTTCGTCATCATTGCAACATAATGCGCTGAAAAAAATCATGAGACAAATGCCTACAATTCCGCAACAATGCACAAATGTTTTATGGATGTCCTCAGACAAAACGTATCACGTAAAAGTGCGGATGCTCCCAGTTCCCAACAACTTCCCAAAACGTTCTGCCACCAACACTCAACGAACACATTTTCGCATGCATTCATGACTGACTCGATGCAGAAAACAAGCCCGCCGTTGGGTCCAAAGTGCAGCTCCTGGTCCCCCATGGCGTCATCCAGCTGGATCAGGTCCCGCACGTCCACGGTTGGCTGGTAGTCGAAGTATTCGGCCGCAGGGTCCAGGTTCACCACATGAACGGTTCGCTTCTGCGTCTGCGCGTGTTTTTGCATTGCTGAACAGTACGTGCTCTGCCAAGCAAGGTCAAGGTCATACCGCGCCAGATTTAAACATCACATTGCAGGCCAGATTGCAGATCAAGAAGTTGATGTCTAATCTCCTCCTACAGAACAAGCAAAAAGTAGCACCACTCTTTTACAAATAAAAGTGGTGTACTTTTAGGACTACTTGAGGTAAAGATGGTGTCTCGCGTTCCTGGCTCAAGGCTTAATAGTGGAAACGACTCAAAGCATTGCCTGGGAACACCTGGATTGCTGAATTGAACCAGTGTAGGCTGCATTTCAATGCTAAATAATTTTATCAGATATTCTAGTGTTTGCTCGACATTTCCATTTGACCATCTGGTATGCATTGCCACTTTTGCATCGCACTGCATCTCCTGGTATGCTGAATGCTTCTTATTCACTGCACAAAAACCCAATACTGAGAAAAGCCCTTCTGCCGCACATTTCTTTTCCCCAATAATACGCATAGCACCACGCCCCAGCTTGGATCCCATCCATACCCTTGTATGTAACTACGGCTTATATTTTACTGAGGTCCACTTCTGCTTCAATGCCAACTTATGCGCCGCAACTTAATGAGGAGAGGTATTTTCTCAGGAACACTGCGCGATAATCTACGGCCAGCGCAGGCGGCAGCCAGCCGCCAACAAATCCGCCGATTACGGGCGGCGGGATGACTCATTCAATTAACAAAAACTAACATCGAGAATTCTTGCTTAAGACAACTGCACAGCAATGCGCTCAAAATTTAACAAGGCTAACATGGCTGTGTAAGTTTCGTGTTATTTCACTGCATGATTCCATATAAACAAGCTTGTGAACAGGGGTGTCAATTTTCGTAAATTGTTGGGGAGCCGAACAGAGGGCCCCACAACCTACCCCCTCCCCCTCCCCCGATTCTTCTCACCGGATTAAGTCCACTTTATTTTTATTAAATGCAACAGCCTAAGTTTTTAATCTTCACATAACTTAGAAAAATCCTTAACTTGAGCAGTATACAGGTCATGCAGGATTGGATGCAGGGAATCATGCACTGGACGCAAGCATCTCTTCTGATTGACACGTGAAGACGCCTCTTTAGAAGCCACTTTAGGGCGCCTATGGCGCTATTCTATGGCGATCATGGGAGGCGGCAGGCATTTTGGTCGTGGGGGATGGGGAAAGGGTTAGCTATGAAGGACCTAAGTCATCTCCATATTATTCCAGAGCTTTTCACTTTCACTTTAACATCACAAACCATTGCGTGTCTTGCGGCGCTAGGTATGTGAAGTTAATTGCATTGTTCATCCGCTCAGCTGTTACGATCTGTATCTTGTGGTGAGAGCAATCATGGCTTTTTGTTATGAGGGTGGTATGGGATGCCAGTACACAGAAATATGAAAAGAAGATAGTCTGTGTTACATTCAGCTTTTACCCACATTTTTTGAAGCATCCCACCCAAAACATGGGGGGCCACGCCAACATTCAGGGGAGGGGGGAGCAGGGCCCTCACAAACGAATACAGATTGACACCCGTGCTTGTGAAGCAAAAATAGCGTTCATTAAATATGACCTTCCCGAGTGGATCAATTATTAACCTAGCTACAACAGATTGCAATTAATGTCACATACTGTTGAGGCAAACTACTGGTTTCCTATGCCAGGCTCTATTGTTCTTAAATTGGAGATGCCAGTACCCCTCTGCAACTACCTGCAGTACAAGAATGTCACTCCTGGGTGAGGTCTATTATCAACAGTTTTACACAACATTACTAGTTAATTCTGATCCCAGAATAGCATACTTTCCTTTCCTCAGCTCACGGTCATACATACATTATCTTGTCTCTCTATATCACAGCTTCTGCATACCACGACAATGTAACAGGTGTCTCAGACCCTTGGGACCCTTGTTACCCTTCACTCGGAAGAGGGTTAATTTTACCCCCTCCAATCTCAAAAACTAAATGAACTGCACAAACCAAATCTATAGTGTGTGTTTACCTGAGCATGCACTTGTGTCAAAATGTGGGATTCTTGAGTCATGACATTCAGGTAAAAAAAGTCAAACTCAAGATCAGTGTCTGAAATGCCCCAGAAGCTAAGGATTTGTTCTTTGCAAAAGCCCAGTGGTGCTCATTTAAGATCAGCAACTTTGTTTAACCTTTCAGAGGTCATGGTGACCAAGATCATACAAGACTGCCTTCAGTTTTGCATTGTGTCAAATACAACACTAATCAGTATGTTCCAAAAGACCCAAAGTTGACCTGAATCAATTTGGGTCAGTGACCTATCCTGAACTTTAAGAAGGCTCTGACAAATGTCTGATATGGTTCCCATTATCAATAAATTTCAAGTGAATATCACAATAATACACAGCAAGCTCTACAGCAATAACGCAGGCTGGTTTGACCTAGGTCCAACCACTGTACCTGACTCCAGGTCAACAGAATTTGTTTATTCAATTGTTGTGTTATCTAAGAAACTATCTTAGAGATGTATAGCTCTATCAAATACTCCATTGTTGCATCAGATTAAACGTTTCTCTAGAAATTGTTTTCAGTGAATCCATACAGAATCTTAATCTTAACTCAGAAATCCAATCCAATCAGAAATCCAATCCAGAATCTTAACTTTACCTGCCATAGTTCAGCAACCTTACAGGGTATACCTAAATCCCAAGCAATCAGCCATATAATTCTCTACAGCTATGCAAAATGTGATATGGCTACCCTTCAAATTCGGAAACCATTCTGGAAAAGCTCAGGGGTGCGGGTAACTTGACCCCAGCACTCTAGCATGTGCTCATTCACAACAAATGATTACAAAATAAATTTTCACTATTTGATGCTCTTATTATCAACTAAAACATCAAACTAATGCCACAAATCACTTAAACCTACCACATGGGCCAACTGTTGTCTGTTTTCTAATGCTTGCCCATATTTCTGCTATTGACCAAATGCTGGAAGGATCAAAACATTTATTATATTTGTATATGCTCTGTCACAGGTTTAGCCCTTTTGCAAAAGTTAGCAGTAACACAAAGTAGTCCTCCATAAAGTGGTGTTCATGTCAGTGATATAGCCTAGACCCATGTTGTCTGTTTATGCAATGCACTCAGGATGGATGCTCCATGCTTAGGCACTACACCACTTAAGCTCACCTTTCCACTTCCAGCTGGTCCCATGACCAGCTGCCCATAGCGCATCCTGAAGCTCGATTGATGTCCAAATATGTTGTGAACACTGTTATCTAGTAAATACCTTTAATGATCAGGTAGATCCCTGAGAAGACAAGTGGTTAAATGGAGTTCAGCTTGTTTTTGAACAGTCTGGCATATGGATCATTGATTATCAGTCTCTCTACGCAGGAACTAAGCAGGGGCAAGGGAGACGCATGGAACACAACACACATCAGTCAATGAAAGAAATCTGAGCGAACTAGCATTCAAGTGCCAAGGATCACGAAAAGAGGCAGAGGCCGCATGAGCTGCCAAATTAAAATTACGTGTAGCAAGGTAATGTCAATGAGCAGAATGGCTCTTGCTGGGCATTGCAGCAGTTTATGTTTGTTGCGACATTCTGACCAGGAATGTAATTTTATCTGCAATTTTGCCATTCCACAATTTTATAATAAAATGTGGTAAGATCAAATGCAATTCACAATCAGTGCAGGCTTAGATCACACAAATATATCCAACAAGTCATATCCTACCTTGCCCCAACAAACATAAATTACTCCATCCTCAATTCCATAGATAAAATTAACTACCACACATCAAACGCCTGTTGCACTCCAAAACGGAGGGCGGTTACGCACCGGGCTTATACACCTTCCAAAATGGAGGATGGCTACGCACCGGGCTAATACACCCTCCAAAAATCTTTCAGACGGTTGTGCGCGCCAAACATACGCGGATTGCCAGTCTTGGAGGGAAGCAAGTGCAAACATGCAGAACCCTGTGCGAAAAGTCGGCTTAACGGTCATGAGTTCTCGGCCTCCACCCACTCAACCCCAATGGATGGATGGTTAACGTGCTGGTCTGGCACGCGGTAGGCCCGGGTGCGGGTCTCGACGATGACGGGTGTTAAATGAATGGTTGCGCGATATATCGGCGTGGCATGATCATTTCAGCTCGGTTCACGTCTTAGCGGAATACACTGTAATATATAATGTACTTTCACGCCGGGCAGAAGCGTAGTATCCAATGTCAGGGACGGGCGTCCACACTCTACAGGCAGTCCTATTTCATCTGGGAACGCTGAACCGTAAATCAGAATCATTTGTGAAAAGTTAGGTGCATACTACCATTCCGGGCAATTGCTTGAAGATCATTCCGTCCCAGCCCGGGATGTCTACCGGTCGCCATTCTGGCTCCATGGAGACGGGTTAGCCTGATCGGTTCGCCCGGGGGCCCTTGCAGATATGCATCCTACGTTGGAGCCCTCCCTGGCGCGGAAGGCCCTCTGGCGGCTTCTGGCTGGGGCATTTGGCCCGAGGCAAGAGCCCTCACTGGTGCAACAGAATTCCTGATAACCGCAGGTGGTCCAATAACTGGCACAGAGACCCATGTTTGGCCAACGGACCCCTGGTTGCAACGGGGCGAAGGGTCCCGCAAGGGCTTTGGCCTCGTTCCTGCTAGAGCAATGGGACCCCAGGGCTCAGAACAACACTGGGTCCACTTTTTGTTGTAGTGGGTTCCGGCCGAAATGAGTGTCCGTATTGTGCCAGGGGTCCACAATCGGTGAAAGAGGCATATTGGTTGACATTTGGGGTCACAGCCATGCGGGCCGGGATGACCTGAAGCCTTTCGACCCTTACGGCCATTCAGCCTTCCCATCGGGCCGTTGATGATGATGATGGTTTGGGGTCTTAGGGCGCATGGACTGCTGTAGGTCATGCAGCGCCCATAACTGCCAATTTATGCAGAGCCGCCAAGCAGGCAAGTACATCAATCAAGTCACCCTTTAAAGCCTTGATGATGAGGCCTGGTACCGTAATGAAAAGATTCCTGGGAAATCTATGGCGCGAAGGAGCTGGAGCAATTTACCAAACTGGACAGCGTACGAAGAATCCCCTAAAAAGTGACATAGCGTGCGGCTCTGGACGTAGTGCCAGAAAAACTGCGCTCTCGTTGCAGTAAGGTGACGGCAAGCGACCAGTACGTGATGCACGGTCAGCGGATCAGAGCATCGACTGCAGCATGGTCTGTCACCAGCCAATAGCAGGTGACGGTGCGGAGCATATGGGTGGCCTATGCGTAACCGGCAAAGAGCAACTTCTTCCCTCCGATTGTCCCGGAAACAGGATTGCCATAGTCCAATACGGGGTTTCACGGACTGCACCTTGTTGGCTCAGCGAGTTCCAGCGGAACTGCCATCGCTTCTGCATAAACGACGACACTGCGGGGTACAAGTATTGAGCTGGTAGTAGTGTTATAAGAATGCGTGTCCCTGTCGTAGCGCGCTTTGCTGCCGCGTCAGCAAGATCATTTCCGCAGATCCCCACGTGACTTGGGATCCAGCATAGTACGACCGTTTTTCCTGCTCGATCCAGTGGGCTAAGACGCGATTGAATGTCCTGGACCAGTGGATTCGATGAGGAAAAGCCACCGACAGCAAGGAGACTGCTCAAGGAGTCGGAAAGAATCAGATGCAGATTGCTATCGTTCACTTCAATAAAACAGAGAGCTTTCCTGATGGCTATAAGCTCGGAAGTGTAGACCGACGCGTGTAAAGGCAGTGTGAATGACCGTGTTGTGGATCCACGCACAAAAGCGCACCTTTCACCTGCATACGTCTTCAAATCATCCGTATAAGTCGTCATGTACCCGTCAAAGGAGGCGATGTGCTCTAAGGCTGCACCTTTAAGTTCCGTCATGAAAACGCGTTACTTTTGCATGTCTGATAGCGAAACATCCACTCTTGGTGATGCTGGCTCCCAAGGAGCAGTCTTCATGGGTTTAGGTCTGCGGGCACGTCGTAGGTTGAGGCTGCTCGCGTCTAAACGTTCTCTTATTCGTACACAAAAGAGAGAAGTTTGTGGTCACTGTTGACGTAGAAAAAAGCTTTCGTAATCTACGCGAAAACACTGCTTTGTAGGTGCGATGATCTGGGAACTGCGCCACCTTGCACGTGTAGCGCAGTCCCAGCATCTGCCCCCGCAAGGCTAGTGGGTGCTCGTGAGCCTCCATCAGAAGACTATCCATGGGCGGTGTTCTCAAAACCCCTGTGGCGATACATAGTGCGGCGTGATGCACCGTGTTCAAAGCACATTTGATCAGGTCTGATGAGCCATCATAGATAAAACAGCCGTAGTCAAGTTTTGAACGAATCAGGGAACGATATAAGAGCAACAGTGTCCTATCAGCACCTTATGATGCATGTCCCACGCACCTTAGGATGTCGAGAGATTTTAAACATTTGTCGTGGATATTTCTTATGTGTTCACGGTATGTTAGGCGTCGGTCAAATCGTGTACCCAGAAATTTCACGGTACTGTCATTGGCGACGCGTTGCCCATATAGCCTGATTTGCATTTCAGGGCAGTGACGGTAACGACGACAGAAATGGACTGCAGTTGTCTTCGATGTGGAAAACCGGAAACCGTTGAGCACACTCCACTTCTCCAGACGTGTGACAGTCAGCTGCAGCTGTCGTTCCATCGTGCGAGTGGTCGATGAGCTACACCAAATAGCAAAGTCGTCTACGAACACAGAACGGCTGATCCCATGTGGAAACGTGTCCCCTATATCGTTTATCATCACTGCGAAAAAATGGCACTCAACACGCTGCTCTCGACACACCATTGTCCTGCGGATACCTGTCGGAGTGATAAGAACCAACACACACCCGAAAGAATCGGTCAGTCAAAAAGTCTTGTAAAAACTTTTCCATGTGACCGCGGATGCCACAATCGAGTAACTTCCTCAGAATTCCGTGTCTCCATGTGGTATCACAAGCTTTTTCCATGTCAAAAAAGATGGCGTCGGCATGGCGTTTGCACCCGGCCCGCACCGCGCTATCAAGAGTTAAGATGTGGTCAATCGTGCTCCTGTTCTTACGGAATCCGCACTGAGCATTCGTAAAAACGTTTTTACGTTCTAAGGCCCACCGTTCGAGAGCCGCACATTCACCGTTCTTTCCATGATCTTACAAGGCGAAGATGTGAGGGCGATCGGGTGATAGTCAAGGGCGTTCGTTCCACTTGTCCCGGGCTTTAAAATAGGCACTACTATGGCGTGTCGCCAGGTTGGCGGGAAGTTATCTGACTCCCATATACAGCTGAAAAGTGTCAGCAGCGCCCGCAGTACATGGAGAGGAAAATGCCGTATCATATCATTGTGGATGAGGTCGGGTCCCTCCGCTACACAACTCGGCGAGCGAATGGCCGCTTGAAGTTCTATCAGAGTGAAATGCTTGCACGTCAGGATGTCACCTGTTTAAAAATTAACTTGCAAAGTTTCACATCGCGCCCTGTGCCGCAAAAACCGTGGATGGCAGATGCCATTTCGGCAACGGTCTGACAAGACTTCCCCACTGGCTTCCGCGACATGACTTGGGTGAGTGATGTCTTCATTTCCCACTCGCAGTACGGGGAGGGAAACTGGTGGGTGCAATCCAGAGATTCTTTTAATGCGGCCCCATACATGTGACGTCGGCCTGTGGCGATTCAGAGAGACGTAGCTGCGCCATGATGCACGTTTCGCCTCTCGTATAGTGTGGCGTGCAGCCGCGCGTGCTTGCCTGAAAGGCATGAGGTTTAATGTACTGATGCGTCGGTCAAAAGCCCTAAAGCTCTCCGACGTGCACGAATAGCGTCGCGACACTCGTCGTTCTACCAAGGTACAGGGATGCGACGAAGGCATCCAGAGGTGCGCGGAATGCATTCTTTCGCCGCGCCCAAAACGAGAGACGTAAATCCTCTGTAGTCGGAGTCGCAGAGTCGAAATCGTTGGAAAAGGTTTTCTCCAGGCGGGCCTCAAATCCACTTCAGTCCGCTTTCTTGAAATTCTAAAGCTGAGGTCGAGCACCAATAACAGTACCACTACGGTACCGAACCCAGACCGAAAAATGGTCACTTTCAAGAGGGTCTTCTGAAACATCCCAAGTGAAGTGTGGTACAACTGCGGACTACAAATACTCAGGTCTAATACTGACGATCTTCCTGATGGCAATGTAAAATGCGTTCTTGCTCCTGTGTTTAAAACACACAGACCTTCGTCACGCACGGAAGCCTGACGTAGCCTACCGCAAGTGTTCGTGGAAGTACACCCCCAAACAGTGTGATGTGCATTAAAATCGCCTAAAACGCTCAGAGGGGGAGGAAGTTTAAAGACTAGCTCTCGTAGTCCTGGAGATGGAAATGAAACCCCAGGTGGTAAGTAGAAAGAGCAGACAGTTATGGCACGGCGGTTGAAGCTCACCTTTGCTGCAACAGCTTGCAAGTCTGTTCTTAACACCAGACGCCGTGTAGGTACGCTTTGGCGTACAGCCATTGGAACGTCACTGTAAGCAACGGTGTCTGATGGCATGTCAGTGCGTTAGGTAATGCACCCTTTCAGGCTGAAGGCCGTTTCAGGCGCCAACTTGGTCTCCTGGAGACATACGACTACCAGGCAGTGCGCGCTTAAAACTGTCTGCAAGTCCTGGGTGCTTGACCTTACACCTCTACAGTTCCACTGTAAGACCGACTGAATGAGGGGCTTTAAAAGCACTGCAATGTTTTCAAGAACTCAGCAGCGCTAGAGCCCGACCCATGGTTGTTGGTACTGTCTTCAGAACCCGTTCCCAAAGAGACCGGGCGGATCCGGAGATTACCGCCATCTGTTGGCGAAATCGGCCCGGCGGACCACGCTTTTCCAGGCGTCCCGTCCTAAATGGGGCCGGCGCCGGCGGAGTCGTGGTCCTAGGTGGCGGTGGTGGCGGAGGACCCATAGGCGAGTCTCTCCGCGGGTCAGAGGAGCCTGCGGGAGCCTCCATACGCTTTCGGGGTGCCGGGAGGGTCTGTTGTGTGTTGTGACTCCCCCGTTGAAGCGGTCACCTGGTCCGCTCCAGACAGCCGGTTGGCTGCCTTGGCACGCTCCTGGTCTGCCAGGCGTGCCCGCTTTGCCTCACGGGCGCGCCTGTCTGCCTCGTGACGCTCAAGCGTCTCTGCCGTTCGCGAGCACGCGCTCGCCAAGGTTGTTTTAGTCGTCGGGCTGGCAGACAGGGGGCAGCCGGCAGTGCCTGGTTACCCTGGTCACGCCGAACTACCGTCCGACCACCGTCCCCTGCCACCAACGGCGAACCCCCCGCGGGGGGCGAGGAGGTTGGCACCACGGTCTCCTTCGGCCGCTCTAGCGAGGAAGGGGGAGCCGGGGCTGCCAGATTGAAGTCCAGCGCCTGGTTTGTCGATACAACCGAGAGACCAAAGGACTTGAAGAGCGCTACAAACTGAGCAGCAGTTACTTGATCAGTGGAGGTCGGACGTGCGGTGGAGATCTTAGCTTTTTCGGCGTACGATGTTCGAGGGTGGCTCCCCTCGTGCAGTGCTCTGGCCTCGTGAAAAGAGATGTTGCGTGTGGTCTTATTCACGATATTTTTTCCTTCACGTATGCTGGGCACGTGCGGTCGTAAGTCGTGTGCGAAGCCTGGTCTTTGTTACATTCCACACAGGACGCTCTCTCTGAATCGCAAAATTCCGTTGTGTGCTCGGAAGAAGTGCATTCCCCACAAGCAGACCTTTTGCGGCGGTACTGTTTGGTATGGCCAAATCGCTGGCAGTGGAAGCATCGCATGGGGTTCGGTATGAAAAGGCGTATTAGGCGTAAGGCGTAAAAGGCGTAAGGCGTAAAGGCTTGACACGTGCGTATCCAACGCGTGTTTCAGAAGGCAGATCCGGGCGACTGAAAGTCAAGATGGTGTTATTTGTCGGCAGTTGTTCACTTCCTTTTCTAGTGGAGCTCCTACGTGCAGCAGTGACGCCTAACACAGACAACTCGTCAGCGATCTCTTCTCTTCACTAACGTCACGCAAGTCAAAGCAGTTGATTATTCTCCTGGATGCATTTTTTGTCAGGTGTGGTGTTACTCGGATAGGCACAGAAACGTCTCGTTTGTCATGCTTGTCCTCGGCTGCAGCCCTCGCACGATCAGCCTCTGCCCCGTTAACAAACTCTACCTCTAGCCCCCCCCCCCCCCCATCACGCAATTGGTCGCACCGAACCACATTCCCAAATCAATCACACCCGTTCTTCCGCTGAAACGGCGAGAGAGACGACAGCCTCGTCTTATCACTTTGGAAAACCAAAATTCGGGGAGATGGCGAAGATTCCCCGCTGCTTTCTGTTCTCGACGTGGTCTTTCCCCAACCCGGGGACGCGGGCGAGGAGGCACGGCGATAAAACGAGGATTAGGAGTGATGAGTGGGCCGGATGCGAGAAAGCGGGTAATGGGAAGGGAGCGGGCGGGACAAGGAGCGTGCGCTCACGTACCGGCAGGGCTATCGTGCCGTTGATCGTCAGTCTTGAAGTGCACATCGGTCCGTCTTCGGGCACCCTCGTACACTCCCCGACCAACTCGGGGGCCCTTGTCAACACCGGACCTCCGGTTACGCGCGGTGTGCCCCTGGCACACCGCACAATCTGGCTGGTATTTGAGGGTCCGACCCATGCCCCTCAATGACCTTCAGCCAGCCCTTTGGTTCCCATACCGGATTTAAGGTGCTCCCATTTCTTCGTGGTCACATGAATGACACCTTAGGCTTGGGATCAGTCACTTTCTGCTCAGACGGTCCAGTATCGAGGGCAAACTGAGTTCCGGGGAGGGACAAAAAGGGGGAAAATAACAAAAGCAGCCTCAAAATCTACAGTGACAGGCAAGTTTCTCCTCGAATTTGGTCTTCTTTCTTTGGGAAGCACAAATAAGGGGGGAGGGGTTTCTTCAAGGACGTAGAGAACCGCGCTACTGTCCAGTACAAGGACTGGAATTCCTTTCTCCTCAGACAGTTGTGATATGACTACTTCTTATGTTTTCTTTTCAGATGGTTGTGATATGACCATTGCTTACGTCACCAGTTAAATGCCATGAGATAAGGGCATGCATACTGATCACATTACTATTTAATGACCCAAATGTCACCAAGATTAGAACCCGAACTCACTGCGCGAGAGCGAGATGCGCAGACCGAGATGGTTAGAGTTCAGTTTAGGAATACAGAAAGTTGGCTTTGATTAGATGGAGATAATTTGATGACCGTCTCATGTTTGTAGCCAATATGACCTGCTTTCTTCGACTCACGACTCTAGCTTTTGATTATTTCAGTAAAGAATTCGTTCAATCTGCAGATTTTTGGAGGGATATAAAGTTGTATCGGCCCCGTGTGTAGTCTTTCTTCATTTTTGAGAGTGTATAAGCCCATTGCGTAACCGCCCTCCTTTTTTGAGGGTGTTAAAGCCCGATCCGTAACCGTCCTCCGATTTAATGGTTGTATGCATGCTGCCTCTTAACATAATAGACTCACTAAAAAACACTCCCATTTCATAACTGCCTAAATAAAACAGAAAACAATAGCTAAATTCAACCCTAAGGAAACGACTTCTATTGGAAAACAAAAGATACCGCTCACACGCTACCATAGACAAGTTGGGCCCTTTCAAAAGCCTTGACTTAGAACCATGGGCACAGCATACATTGACACTAGACACCGGCTTTATGGTCTTGTTAAGTACCACATAAAGGCCGAATCACGCAACGTATACCGAAATGCCGAGCTCCAGGCATGATCCAATGCAACCGTAACTGGCCTCAAGTGATGATCAACAAACACAAGACAAACCATGCGCCTTGACATGGCCGTTGTCTTAGCTGCATCACAAACACACTGCAACAGTTGCGCCAAAACGTCAGAAGCGTCGTAAGTGCGTTCATTCGGCAGATAGCCTCGCGTTCAGAACATAACTACAAGCAGGGCCATCGATTGGGTGTTTCAGTCCGGCCGTGCTGGTCAGTTGTTTCGTGCGCAGCAGCCATAACCGTGGGTTTCAGTCCCGAGATAGGTGTCCTTCAGAGTTGCGTAGTGGGACTTTCAATTTTGGAAATATGGGTGCCACTGTTTGGGAATTCATATATATATATATATATGTATATATATATATATATAATGTTTGGTACCATTGAAGTTCGTAATGATATCAATAACATGCCAACACAGGTCTTCCTCATAAGAGGTTTAGTGATAAATGATTGCTGGTCTTCAGCATTGCGCTGGTGGAGAATGTGTGCATTGGTGCTACTGAGTTGCCTTGACCAGTTCCTGATCAAAGTATGCGAACATATTGGCATGTCTTGTAGACATGCTATTTTTCTTTGATCTGATCTCGATAATGCTTGTTGTAATTTTTTGTGAGTGACTTTAAAATTCCTCAGGCTGTATTTATTGTACCCATAAACTATTCAACATTTGATGGGATAAGCAAATGTGGGAATGTGTAAATACTAAAACCCATTTCATAAGCTACACATAAGCAATGAATTTTGACGAGCGCTACCCAGAATCTATCACATCAGTTGCCCAAGCTTGCTGGTGAGTGACTACTGTGCTTGGTTCTGACTGAACTGACAACTGTGCAGGGGTGTAGTTTTTAAAATGAGTTGGGCAGTGGGCTGAACATTAATCACTGTCAAAACCTTGTCTTGTATTGCGCCAAGAAATGACTCTCATAGGTTTTGCCCACTTCCTTCATAAAGTTTGAGGAAACAAAAATAAAGGAACCTGGAACTTGCTCACCCAGCTGCATCTCAAACTGCACCTCTGTCACTCACTCTCTCAAGATGTTGTGTATGGCTTATTTTGTGCAAAACTTGCATATTTGAACACTGGTGAATGGTGGGTGATCTACATTATCGGAGTTGAATGCACCGTAGTATGCTTGATGCAGGTCCAGTCACCCTTTTGATGACTTCCAAATACATGTTTTATGTAGGTTTGACTATACAGAGCATTAGTTGAGTTTCAGATCATTGTTCAGCATGCAATTTTATTGAGCATTACTACTTAAGCACATACCACTGCAATTACCTGCAACAGTGTAATACAGTGTAATTATCATGCCACTGTAAAACATGTGAGTTTTGGTAAAAAAAAATCATAATTGTATCACATCACCCATGTTACCATGACCTCACATTGTGGGAGATTTTATATACATCAGGGGGATAATGCTTACACACAAAAAGGACATTTGCAAATGATTCAACTGGTTGCTGATTTATTATTATCCAGAACACAAAGCTACAAAATTGTACTTTGTTTCACACATGTCTTACATTGTACCCATGTGGTGGCCAAATGTATCACTGTGGTACCACTGGCATGCAGCAATATTGTTGGATCTCTGTACCAGATAGATGTACCTAGAATGAGGCTTGCCAATTAAAGAGGGAGGATGAATCCTGCTTCTCACAACTGAGGGAGATATCACCATGTTTATCACTGAAATTCATGAGTGTTCCACACTAATGTGCTTGTTGGGTTGTGAACCTAATGAAGTCCAACCCCATTGTCTTATGATTAAGCTTGCAAGTGTTTTTTTTTCTTATTGCCAGCCATATTCGTACTTTCTTGCATGTACAGGTAGTGATGCCAGTATTGGCCTGATTTGGCTGGATGCCCTATTGGCCAGGGCGGACAATTCAGAGTTGCTGCGGCACCTGTTAGCCAATGGCCATGGAGTGGACGCGCATGACAACCAGGGCTGGTTCCCGCTGCACGTTGCTGCCTCGCTGGGCAGCCCGACCTGCCTCGGCCTGGTGCTCGACGCCATGGCGGCCACCGGTGACTCACTCTCCATCGACGTGGACGTGGTGACATACGACGGCGTGACGGCACTGATGCTGGCGGCCGGCGCGCCTTCGCTGGCCTGCGTGCGCCGGCTGACGGAGGCTGGCGCCGACCCCACGCTCCGCTCCATGTCGGGCTGGTCGGCGCTGCACGCGGCAGCGCGCTCCGGCCACCTGCCGCTGGTAGACACTCTGCTGGAGTACGGCGCCGCCCAGCTGGAGACGCTTGGCGCCGCCGGCAACCTAGTGCCGCCGCTGGAAACCGGCGATGGCGCCTACCCGCTGCTGAGCGCCGCGCTGGAGGGCGGCGCCGGCATGACCGTGCTTGAGCGGCTGATGGACGCCGGCGCCTCACTCAGCTGCCGAGAGGACGCCGGCAGCACGCCACTCATGCTGGCCGCGCAGCTGCAGCGCTGCGACGCCGTGGAGCTGTTCTGCCGGCGCGGCCTCACACCGCAGGTGGTCAACATGCGCGAGGCCGGCGGCCGGACGGCTCTACACCTGGCCATGGGCCCGCACCCGGCCGACGCCCGGGCTAACATTATCACGACGCTGCTGTGCTGCGGCGCCGACGTGTCACCTGAGCCGCTCCGCTCGCTCCTCTTGCACGCCGCCGCCGAGAACGACGCCCTGGCGTTCAGCCTGCTGCTTGACGCCGTCGGCATCGAAGCCTTGCGCGGCTGGCAGCAGGGATTCCTCTGGAACGTGCTGTTCGGCGCCGGCCTCGGCTTCGTGGAGGTGTTGCTGCGCCACGGACTGACGCACGACGAGGTTGAGTTCGTGGCGCGCGACGCTGGGAGTTCGCCCAGCTACTGCCAAAATGTGCTGGGCCCAGTCCTGCTGCACAACTACACGCGTCGCGACACGCTGCTGGCACTGCGCCTGCTGCAGGACGACGAGTGCCGGCGCGTGACGCTCGACGAGCCGGACTCGCTCATCTCCAACGCCATCGACCACCTGCGTATCGTGCCGATGGAACTGGACGACCGGCAGCCGTCGCTGTTCTGCGTGCGCCGCGTCTGGCGCCTGCTTGAGCACGTGCACAGCCTGATGACGTGCGACCCGTGCGACTGGGGCCGCCTGTTCGCGGTGGCGAGCCGCCTTCAGACTGTTGTCGGCTCGGTGGTGTGCGTGTTCGCCGTGGTGCGCGCATTCGCAGAGTTCCCGCTGGACGAATTTGTGCAGGCGACGTTCGGCACGTGCCTGCCGCGGCCGGAAGGACCGGCCGGCGGTGCCGCGCCTCCGCCGACGCCCGAGGAGGTGCGCGCCCTGGAGCGGGGCCGCCTCCTGCTGCAGATCGGCCTGCATGCGAGCGGCACCCGCCTGAGCTGCGACGTCGGCCACTGGCTCCGGCTGCCCGACGAGCTGGTGCAGCCGCCGGCACTGGCGGTGATCGCGCGCGCCGCCATCCACGCTCAGGTGCGGCGCACCGTGCGCAGCCGCTACGTGACGCGGCCGGCCAAGATGGCGGCCGAGCTGCGGCGCGTGGCGGAGTTGTTGCCGGCCGGACTGCGACCGACGCTCCTGCTCGAGGACGCCGAGATGCGCCGCCGGCTGGCCGCCATGCTGGACGTGTCGCCCGGCTCGGCCTGGGCGCCGGCCGAGCCGGATGAGCGACTGGAGGAGCAGCCTGACTGGAGCGGTCTGGGCCACGCGGCCGCCACTGGCTACGCCCGCCTCATGAAGCTGGTCACCGCCTGGGAGCACTCAGACGGCTCACTCGGCTAGTGCGCATGCGCGCGATGTCAGCTGCTGGGCCGGTTCGGGAAACTAGTTCTCGGTGTGCTCAGCGGAGTCTCTCGACCTTGCATGGCCAGGTTGCGCGCGATTTTAGTGCTGTATCGACCTTCATGACGTTTGTATTTAAATGCATCGACGGAGACGGGGCGTGTTCTTCTGGGCCAGTGCCACTGTAGTTGCGAACGAACTTGTGCTGAGCCACGGACTATGCGACGAATGGCGATTGCACGTGACCGCTTTATTCAGCCCGCCTTGTGCAATCAGCATCGCGTATGAGCTGAAGGATACAAGTATTGTCTGAAGTCCCAGTGTCGCTTCATCTGAGACCGCCTGCAACCGCGCGTGGCTGGGGTGTGTGGTTCGGACACAGAGCTTTTGCACGCCCGGCTTACCCTTGGTCGCCTCCCGGCGAAGTTGCTTCACAAGGGTTTCTGTTGCCCCCCGCCCCGGCCGGTGTCGGTGCACGTGTCTACGTGCCAACCGCCGGGCTTGGCGTGCGCCCCACGCCCGCTGGTGATGTTTGGCAGTAGTCGTCTCTACCTGGCCTACCCTGAACAGCGGGTAGTTGCGATCTCATGAGGGTTACCCTCCCCCAATGATGGTCTGCCCTCCTCGCATGTTGGTTTTGGCCTCCCACTAGTTTCCGCTGAATACTGAAAAAGGGACAAATTTAAATTCGCAAAAAGCCAATGGTCTTTGGCATTATTTGATGACTACAATGGCTATAAGTCTGGTGAAAAGTCTGGTGAATGCCAAAATTTAAAGATAGTTCCTTCCACATTTCAACTTCAAGTTTGTGGTGACAGGACATGATCGCAGCAATTGCTTGTATTACACGCAGTCTAGAGCCGGTAAGCGCACCCATTTACCACTCGCTACCATACGTACGACTAGCGGCGGTCCCGCTCCACACCAACAGGACAGCTAGAACGGCAGTGGGTCCCCGCTCCACACAAATACTTTGCCAGTGTCAACGACGGCGAGTTTATCAACAATGGACAGCAGGCAGTCCACAGACTTCTGGGTAGAGAACAGCTGGTCCTTCGGCACATTCTTGTGATATGGCCGAGAGAGATCCGTGTCCACCGTTCCTGCAAACAAGACGCTAATGCAAACAAGACGCGACGACGCACAAGCTAACACCATCCATCTTACATGTTTGCTTCATTAGCAGTTAGCCAGGTGCTCACCCCAGCTCAACGCGGAACTTTAAACAGTGCGTTTACGCCCATATCCAAAAACAAGTGCGAGTCGCGTCGACGTCTCCTAAATAACGCCAATCTGATCCTGTGCACAAGGAAACTGAGGGGTCGGCCAGAGTGCAGAAGACAAAATTTATCATTTGCACTGCAGGTGGTTACGGATTACCACATGTGGTCGTTGCCATATGTGGCTTCTTTCTGGGCATGACTGACGAGCTAGCGGGTTGTCTTTTGGGTTGTGGATTGACATGTGTCCGCAATTGCACAGCCATTATACACTTTTCTTAGCAATTTATTGGGCCTTTGGGTTTAGTTTTATGAAGGCCATCATTGGGTTCAGGAGAGGAGAGAGAGAGAGAGAGAGAGAGAGAGAGAGAGAGAGAGAGAGAGAGAGAGAGAGAGAGAGAGAGAGAGAGAGAGAGAGAGAGAGAGAGAGAGAGAGAGAGAGAGAGCGAGAGAGAGAGAGAGAGAGAGAGAGAGAGAGAGAGAGAGAGAGAGAGAGAGAGAGAGAGAGAGAGAGAGAGAGAGAGAGAGAGAGAGAGAGAGAGAGAGAGAGAGAGAGAGAGAGGAGAGAGAAGGGAGAGAGAGAGAGAGAGAGAGAGAGAGAGAGAGAGAGAGAGAGAGAGAGAGAGAGAGAGATAAGAGAGAGAGAGAGAAGAGAGGAGAGAGAGAGAGAGAGAGAGAGAGAGAGAGAGAGAGAGAGAGAGAGAGAGAGAGAGGAGAAGAGAGAGAGAGAGAGAGAGGAGAGAGAAGAGGAGAGAGAGAGAGAGAGAGAGAGAGAGAGAGAGAGAGAGAGAGAGAGAGAGAGAGAGAGAGAGAGAGAGAGAGAGAGAGAGAGAGAGAGAGAGAGAGAGAGAGAGAGAGAGAGAGAGAGAGAGAGAGAGAGAGAGAGAGGAGAGAGAGAGAAGACGAGAAGAGAGAGAGAGAGAGAAGAGAGAGAGAGAGAGAGATAGAGAGAGAGAGAGAGAGGGAGAGAGGGAGAGAGGGAGAGAGGGAGAGAGGGAGAGAGGAGAGAGGGAGAGAGATAAGAGAGAGAGAGAGAGAAGAGA